TTTCACTTTTTCTATAGTTTTAATAGATATTTCTTTGAGAAAATGAGAGAAGATAGAAGCATTAGGAACTATAAATCTAATATTTTTGGTTGGTGTTAATCCTTACTTGAGAGTATTTTTTTCCATTGTTTTTTTTTAGAGGGAGAATGGAAGGGAGGGGAGATAGAAAGAAGAGAAAGAAAGGAAGAAAGTGGAGAGGGGGGGGGAAAGAGAGAGAGAGAGAGAGAGAGAGAGAGAGAGAGAGAGAGAGAGAGACAGAGACAGAGAGACAGAGAGACAGAGAGACACCGCAAGACAATGATGTGACAGAGGGAAAAAGACAGAGGCACATCAATTGGTTGTTTCCAGCACGCACCCTGCTGGAACCAGGTACATGCCCTTGACAGAGAATGTAAGCTGTGGCCCTTGGGTGCATGGGCCAATGCTCCAGTCACTGACCCACACTGTCTAGAGCTAAATCTAATCTATTTTAAAACAGAAGTTCATATATTTAATTTGAGAATAAATGCATGCATGTCCAGATCCAGGAAGAAAGGGAGTTTCAGTGATATTTTTTAATCGACTTCTTCAATGCTGGAAACCAAGATCAACAGTAATTAATATAAATGTCAGAAGTCTGGCAGAAGGCTGACCCTGGATATCCCTTTGAAATTCACAGGATGAATTTCTATTTTATGACCTACTGCTGACTCAGTGGCCTAAAGCAAACACCCCCAAAACCTGATAATCTTACTGTTTATTATAAACATTACCATTGATATGTCTGTCTGCATTCCTAAAGGTAATTGTGTATTCTAGTAAATAAAATCAGCTGGGTAAGAGACTCAGTGGAACTTGACTGCCCTAGTCAAGTTTGCCCTGGCCTCCCCCCATATTAATCAAAATCAATCTTGTCTTGTGTGTATCATTTGTTTGTCAGCTCTTTCTCCAAGCCTTAGAACCAGAAAGCCACCCTGGCTGTGGCCTTTCACACTTCAACACTTTATATGTGGAAACTTCTCACACATTTCTGTGAGCAAGGTGCTCCAATTCACCCGGTACCAGTTTTTCCTAACCTTGTTTTGAAGATTATTGAAATCACCTTTCATAGAATGACCACATGTGCTAGTTTGTATTGGAAATTCTCAGTTTATGTCATTCTGTTTGTCACAGCTCTATTTTCTCAAGCTTCCCATTTGCTATAAAAATTGTCCAAATTTGTGGAATAAATTATATGGAGAGCCTCCTCTAATCCCCTCAGAATTCCTGGAGAGCAGGTATCTTTATTGTTATTTTACATAGAATATATTAAGGCTCAGAAAGGCAGAATATGTTCTGAATGCCAAACAGGTGGTAAGCAGTGAAGACAGAATTCAAACCAACTGAGAACAGCGTGACCCCAATGCTTTTCTTTTCATTACCTTCTTGAATGTTTTCTTGCTTTCCTACATTTTCTCATTTGAAATAGACCATCTATAGCTGTGTCTGAAATGAAAATTTTTTGACTCTTCACTGTCTTTAAAATGATGTTACTCAACAGAATTCAGCTATCAAACATTTGCATCTATGTGGAGGGCAGTAACTGTTTCTTCAGTGGGCCTATTCTCTATTTATGCACAATATTTATTATCTGCCTTACTCAATTTGCATAGTACATTTATGCAAATGGGGGATAGTAATTGAGCTCTACACAGAGTTGTCAATCAGCCTATAGACTGTCAGTATCCATTCTAAGTGACCAAACATTCTCTCTGATTTGGTGGCCATGATGCATTAATGATTATATATTTTTAATATTATCCCTGATTGCATTCAAATTATCAGGTCACCTTTGCAGTGAGTTGTAGTCAGATATGCTCAAATCTGTTTTATTAATTTCTATTGAAATACTAATAGAAGCAGCAGAGTATGCTTGAAAGAGAGCTAAACTTATACATAGATGATCAGGTTCTAATATTATATCTAAAACTTGCTACATCGAAGATCTTGGATACATGACAATCTTATTGATGCTCAGTTTCTCCTTATATGAAATAGGGTATCGTAATGTTGGTTCCTGACAGAATTATTATGATGTATATATGGAAAATATACATGAACTGTAATTTGGTAGACAGTATAAAAGGAAGTCCTTTTTTATCATGGTTATGTAACTTCTCAAATATCCACAAACCTCTGTCATCTCACTTTCTTCTTCATAGATTATTGTTTTGTTGTGGTGATTATTATTATTATTTACATTAGAATTACTGGAATAATGTGGTTAACCAGACATGATATTTAAGCTCAAACATTACCCTGATATATTCAATTGTAACTTTGTCTCTCTGTTAGTAGTACAGGCTGATTATTCAATTAAAGGCTTAGCATAAAGAAATTATTATCATGACATTTAGAAGGCCATTAATAATTTCTTTTCACCATTTATGAAGACATCATTTTCTCATTCTACTCTTTATATAATATCATGTGAAAAAAACTCATATGGATAAAATAGAAGCCACTCAAATAGGAAAGAATAGATCTAAAATTGTTTAACTGAAAGAGTAGCAGTTTTTATCATTGTTCTTACTGTTTTGCTGTATGCATTCTTTTTTTCTTTTTTATTTACTTACTTATTTTTTATGATATAGTTCAAATATGGGACACCCCAAATCGTGCTGTAACTCTATAGTTGTGAATATTATGTTTAGATGGAATGTGCTTTTTATTTTCCTAAAGGACTCAGAGTCCTTAGAAATACAACTAACCTTTCATGGAGAAAAATTTTAAAGTGTTGGGAAACTCATGAGCCACTAAGCTGCTAAGGATAGAGGATTTGGAAGACAAAAGCTGAGAATTGAGAAAATGCTAATTCCCTAGCTTTGCCTAGGTCCCTGACTTTAATAAGTTGTTGTGGCTACTTCATTCTCATTGGCATGTTATTTCAAATATTAAGTTAGAACCTTCAATGGTATCCACATGCTTGTGTAAACAATTCAATAATTTCTGTGTGAAAATGACTTTCAAGATAAGCCAGAAGTTTCACATGCTAATTGGTATGGGATGCAGGGTGCATATAATCTCCAAACACCACAATTTGTGTGCTTCGAAATTTCAAGTAGAATACAGGACATTAATATGAGTCTTTTACCTTTGGAATTTCCCTACCAATGAGGTGAATTGGAGTTTTCATTTGCTGCCCTTGACAGCACATTGTAAAGCGTATACCAGTATTTTCCAGCTAAGCTATAAGTACTTAAAAAAAAAAGACTATCATTTTATAGTGTTTTATTTCACTTGTCATTTATTCTTCTAATTTTTAAGTAGTTTATTTGTTGAATATTACATTTTTCTTATTGGATGTAAAATGTTGTCTCTTGGATCTTTTCGTTTTTTTCGCAATCTTGACCTTGAATCCAATAAACCTAGTTCAAGAAATTCTTTAAAAATTAGTTTTTAAAATCTATATTTAGTTATGTCTATTCTTTTTTTAAAAAATTTCTTTATTGATTAAGGTATCACATATTTGTCCTCATTCCACTTATTCCCATCCCAAACCCCTCCCCACGCATGCCCCCAACCCCTGTTGTCCATGACCACTAGTTAGACTTATATGCATGCACACAAGTCCTTTGGTTGATCTCTCCTCCTTATCCCCACCCTCCCCTACCTTCCCTCTGAGGTACAACAGTCTGGTGTCTATTCCTTAAATTGGAGAATCTTTTGAAATATTGGAAATATTTGCTGTTTCCCTGAAAGTATCCCTGATGTTTCCATATTACCTATATCTAAGTTTTATGACTATGTATCTCTGTTTATTTTCAAATGGAGGATACTAGATGTGCACTGTAAAATTGACACTTGACACATGTGGCTTTTAAATTTTAAAAAAATTACAATGAATTTATTCACTCACACTTGTCATGTTGCGTATGCTCAGCATCCACACGTGGCTAGTGGCTACTATCTTGGACAGTGTAGATATGAAATATTTGCATCTTTTCAGAAAGTTATGAGCAAATATAGAGTGTGCATATATCTTTTATATGTTCTCCCACCTATATATAGTCCAATATTATGTTTAAATGCCTATCAATCTAAATAAAGATTTGAAGAAGTATGATGTAGGATAGTCTCTTGCCACAAACTCAAGTGAAATATTTGGATAATATTGTTAATTATAGAAGTATTGCTTTTACCATTATACATGCTAAAAATATTATAGCTTGCTTTTTCTGCAGTTGTGTTTTAGAACATATATATTGTTATAGCCCTATCTTTTTAGTAACTATAGTAAGGTAGCTGAATCATGGTTTAAAATTGAAGTCTATGTAGAGACATTATTAAGCTCAACTTATTGAATGCTAATTTTTGATTAATTTCAATGTATTTTCCTTGTTCAAAAGTTAACTCTGATTGGGAGAAATGAACAAATAAATTTAGAAATATTTTTGAAGCTGAGTCTATTTTTCCTATAAATGGAAGTACTTTGACCCTTTTAAAGGGAAAAATTAAACTGCAGTTTTGTATTTAGATAAATGTGGTTTTTCTAAATTAGTTATGCTAGTTTAGTTTTCATGCTTGTTATACACACTGGATTTTCTATTTGATTTTTATTACAGAATATATACTTTTGTTATGAGTAATAATTTCAGTGGTGTATGTTTTTTTAAAAGACAAATCCCATTTTATTTATCTGACACTTTATCTTTTCATTGTTATAATTTACATTTGTTGGTTCTTTCCCCCCTTTTTTTGCAGCCTTTCATAGCAATGTTTCAGAAACTATTATGTAAACAGGTTACAAGTAGAAATCTTATTAAGAATAATACTAATTCAGCGTGAAAATGGCATGTGCTTTCATTGCCATATTGATGCTTCTGGTGCCAAGAAACTGGAGAACAAATCTTTAGATTCACATGATAAGCTGACAGAGTGAAATATTTTAAGGCTTGAAAGGGCAAATAGAAGTTATAATTACTGAGCGTAAGCTACACAATCCTTATACTAAAATCTTCACCTTTGCTGTCATGCTGCAGGCTATAGAACGAGAAAAAGCCGAGAAGTTCAGAAAACTACAAGATGCCAGCAGATCAGCTCAGGCCCTCGTGGAACAGATGGTGAATGGTAATTACGTAGAGTTGATTTATATAATCTTCTTAGGGATTTGATAAACATATAGGTTCATATTTATCAGCTGAATTATACCAGACAAGCACTCCCTGAATGTACACTTAAACTAAAGTGACCTTTTAAAATAAATTTATCTTTATTGTTGAAAGTATTACAGATGTCCCCATGATTTCCCCCCATTGACCACTCCCCCATACACACTGCACACCCCTCCCCCCAATCCTTCACCACACTATTGTCTGTGTTCATGGATTAGGAATATATGCATATAAATTATTGGGTTACTCTCGCCCCACTTCCCCACCCCTGCTTTCTCTCTAAAAGTCCTCAGGCTAAAGTAAGCTTTTGAGCTTTTTGTTATTTTTCTTAATGCTAAGGAAATTAGTAGAGGAAATTCAACTTTCAGTCCAATAAAAGAAAATGGAATGTGGTAGAATATTTTATAAATCTGTTACAAAGAAATTAATGTTAATGCAAATCCTGCTAGCATTTGTCAAATAATTTAAGAACAGAAGGCATAAAGAAATAATGGAAAATATGTGCAATCACATAATGTGTGTCAAGTGATTGTAACCTGATTTTAAATCATTCTTGCAATATGTTTTTCCATACTGACTTACATTATGTGGAATGTTTCATCAGCATAGTTGTTTGCTAATAATATATTTGACATTTGTTATGTTTCCTTTCCTTTTTATTTCAGTCATTTTAGAAATGTCTCCTAAGGGGAACTTTTTTTTTTTTTTTCAATTTTACATTTTTTCAAATGAGGCGAAACTTTGTTTTTCTTTTTAAGAGTGGGATAAAATTAATCTGCTAACACTTAGTATTTCAAAAGCTGTCCACACAAACATGTTATTGACATCAATTGTGAACAGCCTGCTTTTAAATTGTTCTGTTACTAGGTTCATTTCCTGATATAAGTAATTTATGAAAATCAGGAATAATTCGGTTTTAAAATAATATTTTTTTCAGTTTTCAAAGGATATGTTTACAAAAGTATCAGAATCAAATGCAACAAGTGTTTTGGTCATGCATTATCAGCATTTTCAAGAACCTGCCTACATTCTAGGGCATGAATTCTGTGTATGAGTTATTGTTTGCCTTAATTGCCATGTTGGCATTAAAAAGTTCAGTGATCTTCCTAGGATATCAATTCATTTTCTTTGCCTAATTAGTCCCAAGACTATATTTGGTTAAAACAAAAACAATCAAAATGACAGTGAAGGATTGGGTTAGAATTTAATGTAAACTATTAAAAGGTTATCATTTAGGTGCCTGTTGGCCAAGTGGTTTAACTGATAACTTTGACCGAGGCAAATTTATGTTAAATAAATTATATGATCTGAGGTATCTCTAAAGCAGGCTTCCCCACAAGTTAGCTTAGTAAAGCTCTCAAATTTACCAGCCTAGAATTTCATTTCTCAAGTTTGGGCTATGGAATTATAATAAAACACATAACCATAAGAGATACTTATATTCTTGTCCTTTTATTGATAAACATCTATTTTTAACAACATTACATATCTTATTTTACAATTAAGATAAAGGAAATCATTATTGTACAATGTTATAATATTATGCACCTAATACAAATATATATATATGTATTATATATTATGTATATATTATATATTTGTATTATATATTATAAAAGGTATATATATAAATATATATATACCTTTTATGTATGTTTTAAAGTTATAACATTTAACATATAGTATATAATATGTATAAAGAATAGTATAAGTATACCTGTTATATTGTAAAGAAACCATTTTATAAGCTCTATTTTATTTTATTTTTAAATATATTGTATTGATTTTTTACAGAGAGGAAGAGAGAGGGATGGAGAGTTAGAGTTAGAAGCCTCGATGAGAGAGAATCATCGATCAGCTGCCTCTTGCACACCCCTACTGGGGATGTGCCCACAACCAAGGTACATGCCCTTGGCAGGAATCAAACACGGGACCTTTTAGTCCACAGGCTGACGCTCTATCCACTGAGCCAAACCGATTTTGGCTAAACTATATTTTATATGTGTAAATACATACATAGAAAACTAAATTTTCTACTGTAAGATTAGAGTATCTTTCTAAAATATCTACAATAATTTTGAAACTCTTGATCCCAAATGGTACATCAGACATGATTCCAGATAACTTTTGACCATTTCTAATTATTTACTGAAAGAACAAATTTTTAGAATCACTTAACTAATGTAGAAAACAAAATCTTTAGTTCCAAGGACAATTTCTTGAAAGAATTTAAGAAAGGTGCTGAGAAACAGGTGGGAGGGATCGTAAGATTATTAAAAGTGCAGAGGTTACCATGATGCCAATGCAAAAGTAACTTTCATTTGATGTTGCAAAGTTTTATTAAAAATCAGTTGTATGTCTTAAAAACACTACTTCTAATAACACATGTTCATTTTGAAAAATCACATAGAAGTTATGATTAATTTGTGGATAATTTTCTCTTTGCTGCACCTTATCAAATGCGAAGAATTATATGTAGAATATTAAAATAGTTAATATTCAATATAGCACACATTTTAAACTATTTTGTGAATTTTACAGTACAGTGGTTTATATTTGAAAAATATGCAGAGATCCAGTAAGATATTTTTATTAATTTACTTGGAACCTTCAAAAAAAGGAGATTGCATAAATTATTTGCATACTGCTTCAAACCTATATATGAACAATTTTCTTAAGGATCCCCCAGTTCTTTTAGAAGAGTGTAAGTAATCTTAAAGATCTAAAGAGAGGCTATAATGCTGCTAACAGAGAGAGTGTTAAACTAAAAAAAAATCATAGTTCCAGAGTTTTGACATAGAATTTTGGCATAATTTTAAACTGATTTATCGATTTCTTAACTACATTATCTGAACTAACATTAATTTGCTGCTCCTATGTCAACATCAATTGATAGATAAGTATGGGGAGCAGCTTGACAGAGTATTCATATTAGATAAATTTTTCACGGATATAATCTTTATGAGCCTATTGTCACTATTATCAGATTGGTATAATAGCTTTATTCTCAAGAAATTGTTCACTTCCTAGAACATTAATAAGAAAGATTGGGTAATTATTAATATAATTATGTTTTCTGTAGCTGAAACAATTTTTTGAAAAGGATACATATGACCGTCTTTAAAATTGAGTTTTATATTTATTTAAACACAAAATTCTGTAAAATAATTATTCAGATTTATTCTGAATTATTTTTATAAAATAATAGCCTCCTATTAGTTAAGGTAAAACAAACAAACAAACAAAAAATCCATCTGGTTGAGATAAATTGTTTTCCTTTCTTTTTTTTTTTTTTTTTTAAATATATTTTATTGATTTTACACAGAGAGGAATTGAGAGGGATAGAGAGTTAGAAACATCGATGAGAGAGAAACATCGACCAGCTGCCTCCTGCACACCCCCCACTGGGGATGTGCCCGCAACCAAGGTACATGCCCTTGACCGGAATCGAACCCGGGACCCTTCAGTCCGCAGGCCGACGCTCTTCCACTGAGCCAAACCGGCTTCGGCTGTTTTCCTTTCTTAATATTGAAATTACCAAATACAATTCTACCAAAACATTTATTTTAGCGTGGTGGGTGTGGCTCAGTGGTTGAGCTCCAACCTATAAACCAGAAGGTCACGTTTCAATTCCTGGTCAGAGCACATGCCTGGGTAGCAGGCTCAATCCCTATTATGGAGCCTGCAGGAGGCAGCCAATCAATGATTCTCTACCTTCCTTGATGTTTCTATCTCTCCCTCTCTCTCTGAAATCAATAAAAATATACTTAAAAAACATTCATTTTAAAACATATGCAAGCATAACTCAATTTCCCCTTCTTTTAGTTATAAAAATGGTTTAACTATAATTTCCAGAGAATACTTTATAGGAATTATGTCATTTGAGTTTGATAACAAAATTTTATCAGATGGGCAAGGTTAGTGATTATAGTCAGTTTGGCTCACCTCAAAGCCAAATACTATCTTTTTTCACATTATTGTTAAGGATTTTCAGTGACAATTATATATTTTAATGGGAAGAGATTCTGCATCTGGTCTGTATATCAACAGGGCATGGAAATAATAATACTATATGCAGTCTTCCACCCATCCATAAAGGAATGAGTAGTTTTCTGCAGTTGCATCCATTTCCTCTTCTATAACTCTTTCTTCAGTTCTAGGCAATTTCTTTTATATCTCCTGTTTCTCTGTGGGACTCATGCAATAATGGCCTACACGGAGTTCTCACTCTATAAATATTGTTAACTGATAGACACATTTATCTGCAAAGGAAGAGATTCTGTGCTTATGTAAAGGGAGGACATTATAGTAGTCATTGTTGTAGAAAATTAGTCATAAAACAAATGTGTTGGAATCTGACATTTGTCTTATAATTCAATAATGTTTAGAAATAGATAAACTGTAAAAAGAGAGATTAACAAATATAAGTCATATTTACTGAGGATGTGAATTTTACATAAACATTAATTTTTATTATTTTATTATTTTTATTTTATCATTTAAATATTTTTATTATTGAAAGTATTGCATAAATTCCCCCTTTTTCCTATTGACCTCTTATAGCCCTTCCCATCCCCCATCCCAAACTTAGTAATTTTTAAAAGGCATTATTTAAAAGTATATGAGGTAGGAGTTATATAAAAGTTACTGAGATCAAAAGAACCTCTGGAATGTAGTCCATAATACTCAGATCTTATTTTCAGGAACTCTGAATAAATTTCCATTATATTTTGTCTGTTACATTGAGTTGAAAATGAACTTGTAATGACCCTCACTTACTATGCAATTAAAATCAATGATTATTTATTAGAAACTTTATTTTAAGTTTTTATTCCAAATATTCTTCTAATTCAAGATCTCTGAAAACAAAGGTTTGCATTCTTTTACCCTGACTCCATGGCTAATGATGAATAATCTTGATGACAAATACTTCACTTTAAGTGGCAGTTCTGAAGT